GCCCCCGGGGAGCAGGGGTGGCAGAGCCACTCAGGCGTCTCGGCGCCTGTCCCCCACGGCACCCTTGTGCGGGGTGCGGGGTTGGGGCTCGCTATTCCCGCCGCCCCATCACACACCCTTCCCCTTAGGTCTCATGCCTTTCTTCCTTCGCCATCGCTCTCAGGTTCGTCCTTTCTGGAAAAGAAGTCAGCGCTGTGGTGCTTCCGTCCCGGGCGGTGCGCCACCTCAAACCTGTAGGGTTGCAATGTTAAATACCACCTCGTTATTCGGGGGTTTGTCTCCTTCATCGAATGCAACCACTTAAGGGGGGCATGGTCCGTTATTAGTTTGAACGACCCTCCGAATAGGTAGTATCGGAGGGATTCAATCGCCCACTTTACCGCTAATGCTTCTTTTTCAATAGTGGCGTAGGCCTTCTCCCATGGAAACAGTTTTCGGCTAATGTATAAAATGGGGTGTTCCTCCCGTTCCATTCCTGACTCAAGACGGATCCCAAGCTCACTGCGGAGGCGTCCGTCTGGACTATAAACTCTTTTGATACCAGCGCTCCCATGAGCGCGGTCCTTAGTTTGTTAAAAGCTTTCTCGGCTCCCTCCGAGCGTACCACCTTTTTTGGCTGGTCGGCCCGTGTCAGGTCTGTGAGGGGGGCCGCTATAGTCGCAAACTGGGGGATGAATCTTCTATAGTACCCGACCAAGCCCAAAAACTGTCTCACCTGCTTCTTAGTTGTGGGGAACGAATAGTCCGCTAGGGCCTTCATCTTATCTATTAGGGGTCGTAGCTTCCCTCTCCCCACTGTGTACCCGAGATACGTGACCTCTCTTTGGCCTATATGGCATTTGCCCGGGTTGGCTGTGAGGCCGGCATCCCGTAAGGTCCTCAACACGGTTCGCAGGTGTCATGTGTGGTCCGCCCAGTTCTGGCTATATATGACTATGTTGTTGATATAAGCTGCCACATAACCGTGGTGGTCCTGTAAGATTCTATCCATCAACCTTTGAAACGTGGCGGCCGCTCCATGGAGTCCGAACGGCATGGTCTTAAACTGGAACAACCCAAACGGGGTCGAGAAGGCCGTTTTCTCTTTGGAGGGTGGCGTCAGCGGGATCTGCCAATACCCCTTTGTCAAATCCAGGGTCGAGATGTAGTTTGCCTGTCCCGGCCTATCTAGCAGCTCGTCCACCCGAGGCATGGGGTACGCGTCGAACCGAGATATTGTGTTTACCTTTCGAAAGTCCACGCAAAAGCGAAGGGACCCATCCGGGTTCGGCACCAGTACAATGGCGCTTCTCCATTCGCTTCGCGACTCCTCAATTACGCCGAGACATAGCATCTCCTGCACCTCCTTCCGGACGGTGTCCCACATCCGCCAAGGGAGGGGCCTTAACGCGTCGCACACCCGCTTCCCCGAGTTCGTTGCGATATGATGGTAAATAAGGGTATGTCTACACTACCCCGCTAGTTCGAACTAGCGGGGTAGTGTAGACATACCCTAACTGAGGTCTTCCCTGGCACTTTGGTGAGGGTGGTGGTGTATTCCTGGGCGATGGCTTCCACTTCTTGTCTTTGGGCGGCCGAGAAGTTTTTGCCCATGTCGAGACGCGCCGGCTCCACCACCCCTCCTGTCCCAGGCCCAAATTCGGGTTCTTCTAGCTCCGTCGTGATCAGGAGGGCCTCACGGGGTCTCCACTTCTTCAGCAGGTTGACATGATAGATCCGAGACCTATCCCTCCTGCCCTCTAGCTGTACCTCATAATCCACTGGCCCGACTCTGTGGATGACCTCAAAGGGCCCCTGCCACCGGGCCAACAGTTTCGACTCCTTTATCGGGAGCAACAGTAGCACTCGGTCTCCGGCTTCGAATTCCCTCAGCTTGGTGCCCCAGTTGTAAAAGAACGCTTGGTGGTCTTGGGCTTGTTGTAAGTTCTTCTTGGCGAAGTCCCCCAGTCGCCGTAGCCTCTCTCTCAACTTTAAAACATAGTTCATGGTGCCCTGGACTCGGGACTCCTGCGCTTCCCAGGTTTCTTTAATCAGATCCAGGATACCCCGTGGCTTACGTCCGTACAGTAGCTCAAATGGAGCAAATCCGGTTGAGGCATGGGGTACCTCTCTCACGGCGAATAACAGCGCGGTTAGGGCCTTATCCCATTCTCGGGGTTCCTTGTCAAGGAATCATTGCAGCATTTCCTTTAGGGTCCTGTTAAATCTTTCCACCACCCTGTCCGTCTGGGGGTGGTACACGGAAGTTTGCAGGGTTTTAACCCGTAACAGCCTGCACAGTTCTTGTATTAGGCGGGAAGTTAGGTTGGTCCCCTGGTCCATCAAAATTTCCTTTGGAATCCCCACCCGGGCAAATATCTTAACCAACTCCCCCGCAATTGTAGCCGCGGTGGTGTTTCTTAAGGGGACCGCCTCCGGGTAGTGGGTAGCGTAATCCACTAAGACCATGAGGTATTGGTAGCCTGAGGTGGACTTTTCCACGGGGCCCACCAGGTCTAAACCCACTCGCTCGAAGGGGACTCCTACCACCGGGAGGGGCACCAATGGGGCCTTTGGGCACAGTCGTAACTGGGTGCATTGGCAGGTGGGGCAGGACTCGCAGAAGTCCTTAATGGCCTTGTATATGCTAGGCCAAAAGAACCATTGCGTAAGTCGTTGCAAGTCTTTTCCTGGCCTAGGTGCCCAGCCCAGGGGTTCGCATGGGCAAGTTCTAGCTCCCTGTTGCGGTAGCGGCCGGGTACCAGCAGCTGTCGAGCCCACCCTGGTCCTCCGCTTCCCAGGTTACCCGGTACAAGCGGTCCCTCCGTACCTCGAAGTGGGTCTCCTGCTGGTTAGTCTCATCATCTGCTTCGCCCCCCCTTGCCTGCTCCCAGGCCTGTACCAGGGACAGGTCATTCTGTTGTTCCTCAAGGAAGTCATGCCTGCAAAATTTTCCAGAAGACCGGCCAGTCCCGCCCCAGGACCACCGGGTAGGCTAGCTGCGGGGCCAGGGCCACCTGACAAATCCCTTCTTCTCCCTGGCACCGTAGCCGCACCCAGGCTGTTGAGTAGGGTCGGAAGTCACCGTGGATGCACCGCACCCAAATTGTGGAACCGGCAGGGGGGGGGCGACCCCGAGTCCATTAAAGCCTGTCTTGGCACCCCTTCCACCAGTACCTGGGTGGTTACTCTAGCTCCACAGTCGGGGCAGTGGGGCGCCCCCGAGGCGATCCCTTGCCTGAAGGAGCAGTCCATGAAGGGGCATTCATGCTTGAGATGCCCCTCTTGTCTGCACTCATAACACCGGGGACAGGGGGTTATCGCTTCCACCGCACCTCCCTCCGGTCGATGTACCCCTGCGCCTATGTTTTCTGGGGGTCCTTCTTTTCCTACCTCCGGCCCTCGCCAGGCCACCCCCTGGCCTAGGCCCCAGTGTGCCTCTCCCCTTTCGGGACGTGCTCGGCCCCTCAGCGAGCGGTCCGCCCGGCCTTCTCTATCCCCTCTCCCGGGGCCTCCGGGCATCTCTGCCGCCATATAGTTCTCCATTAGGGCGACCGCATCTGTCAGGGCCTGGGGACAGTGCCTACGTATCCACTGCTGGCCGGGGGAAGAATCTGCAGGAACTGTTCTAACGCTACTACGTCCGCCAGCTGAGCGCTATCTCGCCTATCCGGCTCCAGCCACTGCGCCACGGCTCGTGGCCGTGCACCCTGGGGGTATCGCTCTGCCCTAAACCTCTGTCTGTAGGTTTCAGGTGTGACCCCGATCTGGTCTAATATGGCCTCTTTGACCTTGTAATATTTCAAGGCGTCTTGAGGGCTTAGGCTCCTGTAGGCCAATTGCGCCGGTCCCGTAAGATAGGGGGCCAGAAGCGTAGCCCAATGGACTTTGGGCCAGCGGGCAGCTAATGCCATCCTCTCAAAAGTTACCAAGTACACTTCTGGGTCATCCAGCGGTCCCATCTTGGTCAGTCTGATAGGCAGCTGGGCCGCTCCTCCGGGTCCCTCCTCCCTGTCTCCGACCGGTCCGGCCTCGATTCCCTGGCCTACCCCTTGCTGCAACCATATCTCCTGCTGCTGAGGCATTTCCCTCACTATCTGGCGCTGCTGTTCTTGGCCCTGGGCGGCCAGCTGCTGTAGCAACTGCACCTGGTGCTGTTGCTGTAGCGCCTGCTGTTCCTTGAGCCATTCAAAAATTTGTGTCGGGTCCATGGCGGCGGCTTTCCTCCGCTTCTCTCGTGGGAGGCGCCCTCTACCCCTCGTGGGATTCTCTGCCGTCTTGAACCCGGGGCGTTTTTTTGGGGGGGGGCTCACCCCTTCTAGTCTAGGGGTTTAGTACTCACATTCTCCACCATTTTGTAACACTCCCGCCCCCTTTCTCGGGAAGGGGGCCGTTATGCTACGTTACCTCACTCTTTAATAGTCCTCCGGTAACCTACCGGGGCGGAGGGGGACCTGGACCGGCCCTCTCTCCAGGTCCCAGCCCAGGACCCTAAGGGAGTGCGTCAGAGACGTGCTGCCCGACCAGGGGGGCTATGGCCGCAACTCACCGGTCCCCGGGGTTTCCGACCCCGTCCTGGGCTGCTTCCTCCGACCCTTCAGGGTCTGTATGTATCAGTCTGGTTCGGCAGGGTGGCCGGGGTGACTCACCCACTCTGGCCACGGGGGTTCTCGGTTGCCCGTCCTGGGTCTGCTGTCGGTCCGATCACCACGTTGCAGATCCCGGCAGTTGTCCGTTGGCCGTTGGCCGTACCACCGGAGCTTCCTCCCCTCCTTTGTGTCCTGGCCGCCCAGCTTTTAAACCTGGTGCTCTTGGTCCTGGACGTCGGCGCATGCCCCCTGTGGGGGAGGTTCCTAGCGGACCTATCTTCAGCCACCAAGCAGTGACTCTGATTCCACACTGAGTATTGTTTTGTAGTCACCAAAAGTGGAGCACCCATGGGAACATGATCCAAAGAAGAAAAGGAAGTTACTCACCCTGTGCAGTAATGACTGTTCTTCAAGGTGTGTGTCCCTGTGGGTGCTCCACAACCCTCCCTTCATTTCCTGTACTCAGAGTCTTAATTACTCAGATGGAGAAGAGGAACTGAAGGGGGGGGGGGTTGATTAGCTGCCAAACAACGCAGCGCTAGGCTCCCCTCACACATGCGTGGGCCACTGACAAGTACTGAAAAAAGCTCTGCTCCATGGCCCCAGGATGTCCCTACACCTTACGTGGGGCACCTACGGGGACGCACCCCTCAAAGAACAGTCGTTACTACACAGAGGGTATGTCTACACTACCCCGCTAGTTCGAACTAGCGGGGTAGTGTAGACATACCCAGAGTGAGTAACTACCTTTTTTATTATGTTGGTTTATTTGTAGATAAACACATTTTTACATGGCTGTTCCTTTACTTCCACCCCCAATCTGGTTCTTTGTGAATGGGTACGTGCTTTTGTCCATCACCCATAGCAATGTGTATGTGTACCTTGTTTATAAAAGCTTGTTGTTGTCATTTCTGTATTGTAGGTACCTCACTCCTCTGGTTGTGCTTTTATGTATCTTCTTGTATCTCAGAACACTTGAAGCTGGAGATCACATATTTTATATTGGGTAAAATTAGTTACACACGTGATTGGATAAGAAAATTAGCTAAAGGAAAAAGTGACATAAATACAATAGTATACTGAGTATAATAGTATAATATCTTTGGATGTCTCCTAAATATTTCAGAAATTTCCTCTTAAACATTCCCACATCTAAATCAATTTCCTGGACACCACAGTCAGCTTCAGCAATGGAACCCTACAAACAACCATATACAGAAACACACTTATCACCACCACACTTACCTCCATAGATCCAGCTATGATGATCAATACCACACCTCCCCCAACACACCTTTCAAGATTCCTGGGTCCTACACATTCCTATCACAACATGTGGTATAGCTCCTCCAGTGCACCAAATGCTGTAATAACAACTTAGTGAGAGGAAAAAAATGATCACTACACTCTCAAATGAATGAATGGAAAATGATTAAAGCAACCACTGAAAAGAATACCCTGACATTTGAGAGTTCTAGCCTGAACTCATGAGTGAGGTTTGATTTTGCTCCAAAATTGTTCGATAGGTGTCCATTCTCCCACTTCCCAGGTTCCTGCTGCAATCCAGAAAAGTGGGAGAGAGGACCTTATGACAGGCCCAATACCAGACATGGAGAGAGTGAAGAATTCTAAGAGAGAAGATATCAGTCTAAAGGGATGAACTGTGGCCTGGAGGCTGAAGTGAGAAGGATGGGGCTGATGGAGTGGGAAGCTGAGTTGATGGTAGATTGTGAGCAGCTGGGTGAGTGCTGGGAGCATGAAATGAGGGCTGTAGAGGTTGGGAAGTAAATGGGCTGAATTGATGGGATGGTGATGACATGGGCTGGAAGACAGGATTAATAGCTGAGCAGGAGATGGGGAGATGGATAGGTGAGAGTTCCTGTGGCAAGAGCTAAAATGACCTTATGGTGTGCATGTGGAAGAATGGGCAACACTGTCACATGCACTCACCTGGGGATGGGCAGGAAGAGTTCAAAAACCAAGAGACTGACTTAAGAAAATCACAGTATAATCCTTTTTAATATACCCCTGAGCCAAGCTCATGATTTTGGACGTCTGACACCTGATTTTTGATCTATGGAAGTTGAAAATGCTATTGTACAATTGAAAGCGGGGTCTGAAGGAATTCTCCCTGAAGCTAGGTGGGGGAGGGAGAGCCTTCAGGAGCTAACTGTATTTACATGAATACACCTACTCTGCCAAGATAGCCAGAAGATAAGTACGGTATTGTTCAAAGCAATCAACTGTGACTGTCCAAAAGAGGGGGCCAACAGAGAAGACTTGCAGCTGGTGGAAGAGCTGGCTAGACCAAGTGCAATCTGACAGAACAAGCAAGGATCCTTTTTCCCTGTTTGTGGTTTAAAATAAAAGGTTCGGAAATGTGGCTAGTCCCAGGGAGGCGCAGAAACAGGCAAACTATTATTAAAGTGCTTCTACGTATAAAATATGATTTTATCAATTTCTTACATACGTAGGCACCAAATAATTATTAGAATGTCCAATAAGCAAAATGCAATACAGTGAACAAAATTCTTTGAGGTTTCTCTAAATCCCAATAGTTGTTAACAAGGGACTAGGGATTATTAACAGTTACATTTACATCAGTCTTACTTATAAGACTAATCATTTATCTAAAACTTTTAACACTACTACTTAACAATACCTCTAAACAATTTCAGATAACAATACTTACATTTAACAGACACACAAACTACAACAACAACAACATATTTGGTATTCGTTATGTTTGGTATACGTTACGCTCTACAGGAACTCGTTTGGTTCGGTGAGCGGGAGGTGGCCCTCGGGTGATCAGTCCTCGGACCTGGCTCATATTCCGCCATCCAATGTTTATTCGGGATTCCTCAATTTGATACAGGAGGAGAAGCTGTTTTATAGAGAGAGCTTTTGCGCGCTTTTTGTGATAGGCTAGCAGACCCTGTCTGTTAAAGTGACAGGAGTAAGGGGGTGAGATGGTTTCCTGTTTTTCCTTTTCTGCCTTATCGGGCATGGCACAGTCAGCACAACCAGCACAAACTTTACATGAACTTTTGGGTCTGGTTTTGGTTCCTGTTCGTCGCTGATCTTTAAGTTACATAGTGTAAGGGTTTTCATCAAGGGGAAGTTGACCTTTTGCTTGGATGGCAATACGCGCGAGAGGCCTGGCCAGCAAAGAGCCTGCTTTCACACTGTTGTGGGAGGTGAACTCACACAAATGCCCCTCACAGACCAAGGATAACTATTGTGAGGTGGGGAGCAGAGAGGAGCACAGAAAAGGAACTTGGGGTTTTAAAGTTCAAGAACTTGAGGCAGAGGACTTTGCCCCACCCACTAATCGATTTATGTTTATCAATCCTGCTTGTGGTGTTTTCTCTAATTAATGTCAGGGGACTTCTTTCATTCGAGCTTCTTTTCTACACTGAGAGTCTGTGCTTGTGAGTGGGGAAGCATTGCCTCTCAGAGGCATGCAGGGATGTAATTTTCCCAGGTTACTGGGTGAGGCTCAAGATAAGTCAGTGTTGTTTTGTTGAAAAGGAACCCCTAGATATTGAACCTGGCTCTGGTTGCTGCCCGCTCCATCTGGCAGAAGGGTTACACAACCACAACAACAAAGCTACTGTGAATTCTGGCCTAGGACAGCAACATGCTATGCAAACACAGTTAGTTGCTTCTTAAGGACAGGTACTGTGGGGTGCTCTTTGTATTCAACTCACAATGTCTTCCTTGACAACTCTAAATAGATTGGGAGTAGGCCTCACACATTAATGTACGTTGTTGTCATACTCTTGGCTAGTTTTCAGTGGTAGAAAGAAATTTATAGTAAGACAAATCAAAAACATTCTGTCAAGGCTTCTAAATGATCAAGCCAAGTTTTAGACTCTGGGAGTAGATATTGTCTTTTTGGGAGAAATAACTGGACATAGACAGTGAACTGGACAGACAATGAATTAAATCGCACAGCTCTTACAGTTCCTCCAGAACAGGGCTACTCAACTTTGGAAGCCTTGGGGGCCACAATGATACTCACAGCACATGCTGAGGGCTGCAGCTTAAGTGTGGTTACATATATATGCAAATACATGCAAATAGCTTCTTTCACACTGATGGGCATGAATACAAAGATTAAGGCAAGACTACACACCATGCAGACCCCATTTAAGTCAGTTCTGCTGATATTAATAAAATGCAATATTTGTCCGATTTCCTCCCATATGACGGCACTTTTAATGAGCAATGACAGTCCAGGATTTTAACTACTAAAACACATATCAACAGAAGACCATTATATTGACTTGCCATTGTGGAATGTGTTCCCAGTGGAATGATCCCACCTGCAGTCTATGTGTTGAGCCCCATGTAAATCCAAATCGCACCGCAGGCCACAAATAAACAGGCCACGTGCCGATTCTGCTCCAGAATATAGTTTCCAGCAAAGACATTACATAGCACAGAAAGGAAACTCTGCTTTATGTTTTCACATATGAAAGTCAATACATTCAAAAACGGCTTTTATTCAAGCATTTTTTCCTTATGAAAACTCTGCCTCCTGAGGCCACTCCTCTAAATCACATGTCCTTTATTGTTTTCTGTCAGACATGCTGCTACCTGATCTGTAGCCACTTTCCACCACAAAAGAGAAGTTTGGAGTGAAAGATGGTCCATGACCTACAGTTTTAAAAGCAATGATGTGTGCTCTACTCTAGTTGCTTGCTCATAGTGCCAACTTGTTTTTAGTTGAAACACTCTATACTGGTTTTGAGAGTGATATTACTGATAAATGTATCTCTACCATTTCTGCTGCATTGTACAGTAATGGTAGAGAGCATTTCTGGTTTGTATTGCTCCTGAGCAGTCTCTGTTTCTCAGGGGAAAAAATGATAGTTTATTCTTAGGGACAAATTTATAAGCCCTGGAAAACTGAGGCATTATTCCTTTAAAAATAGCTGCCACAGACATTTGATCTTCATTCCTTATTATATTATAGACTGTGGAACATTGTTGCGCTATTATATTGAACTCTGATAATCCTAGCACTTACAGTGCTTGTCATTTTCTTGCATTATGTTTCACAGTGTCCTGTCAGCTTGGTTGAAAACCAAGTAAATATTATCATCATTTTACAGACAAAGAGATTAAGTAACTTGCCCAAGATCCTGGAGGGAATCACTGTCAGAGCTGGGTTAAGGAGGCTTTCAGTTTTGTGCTCAGAACAACACATCACAGCTTTCTTTCTAAACTTAACAATTTCCAATAATAGTC